TATATATATATATATATATATATATATATATATATATATATATATATATATATATATATATATATATATATATATATATATATATATATATATATATATATATATATATATATATATATATATATATATATATATATATATATATATATATATATATATATATATATATATATATATATATATATATATATATATATATATATATATATATATATATATATATATATATATATATATATATATATATATATATATATATATATATATATATATATATATATATATATATATATATATATATATATATATATATATATATATATATATATATATATATATATATATATATATATATATATATATATATATATATATATATATATATATATATATATATATATATATATATATATATATATATATATATATATATATATATANATATATATATATATATATATATATATATATATATATATATATATATATACACCCGTTTTCCAAAAGGTTTTCATATAGAGAGATATATAGATAGATATATATCTTTTGTTTTCTTGCACGTGCGCCCGTGTGCATTTACACTTGTTATTGTCTAACTTGTGAAAAAACTTGGTTCAACAATAATTTTTCTTTTCCTCAGGTTCTTTGTTACAATTTGTCAATTAAAAAAAATAATGCACGAATATTGTTTGCAATTCTCTTGATTTGAATTCTCTTGAAAATTAAAGAATGAGGAATTCGATCACTTGTAGGTCATATCATCGTTGTCGTTACAGGATAAGGGGAAAAACGCAGATGAAATGAAAAAAAAAAGTGTTTTCGAAACCGCTGAGAAAGAAGATGTGACGGGGAATATCCATATTGGATATGTGGGAAGGAGCAACAATATTATAGCGGTTGATTAAAACGGACCAAGACGTTGACTAGGTTCATAGAAGTAGATTTTATCATAACCATGAGCGGGTCATATATATTAATGTCTCACCTTTTTTCGTTTAAAATCGCGGCCTGTAAGGCAACGTCTCATTGAAGACAGAATAAACTCTCGGCCACAAATGCTTTCAAGTTAGTTTACAGTTTCTCTTAAGCACGCCCATGGACAGCGCATTTTTAAATACACTCCATCAATAAAAATGCTTCGTCACCGATCGGCTGCTTCGCGGGATGTTTTCCTCATTCCCAAAATCAGCTATATAATTCGCCATTGCAAGTATGTATCGCAGGGGGGCATGTATTTTTCTAAAAAAAAAAAAATCAAAACGACATTTCAAATTGGAACAAAAACCCCGACGACGAAAAAATTTATCGTCGAACCGAGTTTTTCACAAGTTGGACAATAACACGTGAAAAATACACACGGGCGCACGTGCAAGAGAACAGAAGTATATATCTATCTATATATCTCTCTGTATGAAAACCTTTTTGAAAACGGGTGTATATATACATATATATATGATAGTTCAGTGTTTCTCAGATGATCAAAGTGAAAGATATTTCTCTGGAATTCACACAACAAAGAAACGACGGATAGACCTATTCGGCTAACTCAGTGTTGTACCCAATTCAAATCTCCCGGGGACAAGATTCTTTGTGTATTGTATTTGCATTACAATGTGGCATTCACATTTAAATGATATGGAAATTTCTGAAACAGAAATTTCCCAAAGGGTTTGAATTGGGTACAACATTGAGTTAGCCGAATAGGTCTATTAAACAAAATTGTCCATGCAACACTGCGTGAGTGTTTCTCCTAAGCGATTAAAGAAACTTTCTTTAAATTCAGTTTTTCATATGATATGAAAAACTCGAGTTTAGACAGTTAAGAGGAGTGAATAAACAGTGTTACTATTGATCTTACTAAGATGACCGTATATTGCTCCATTTTCGTAAACTTTGAGCGAGAAGTGATGTCACAAGGCCCTTCGCTCATCTTGTTTTCCTCCTGTGTATTTTCCGTTGAAACTGAAGTAGTGAAAACAGCACGGTTGTAGTCAGGCACCAGTCCAACGCTTAGCCATGCACTAAACGCAATGTTACTGTGATTGCTTGTCCGTGAATCACTTTGTCCCTAAATATCAAGTGATATTCTATCTAAAACGAATATCTCATTTTCATTTTAGCATATTTGAGCGAAAGATCAGCATAGGACGAACTGTGGCCCAGCGCAAGCCATTTGAGGGGTGGCATGACTACCACCTCTTGTATTTCCAAGAGTTGGGACTTAGGTCTGCAATAAGTGCACAAGACTCTGGGTGCTTTCTTTATTTATAACGTTGGTTTTTTCAGAAATGATAAACACTATTCATAATTTTGTCATCATTTTGCAGGGGCTAAAAGGGTTCAATCTAATGATATTTTTTAATCTTTTAAGAAAACAGATTATTTTGCACCTTATTATTTTTAATTAATAGTCACTAGCTAAAACAAACTTTAATTTAAAGTTTCATTGCCTAAAGTTCAAATCCCACTTTTAATCTACATGTTCCTGAAGGTTTGTTCCCATTTTAACTCTATAATGCTAACGCTAAGCAAACTTGACAACGACACCTCTAAAAAAGAGATGGGAGCGCAAATTAAAAAAAAAGGCTGAAAGATTGATCTGCACGTTTTTTTCATATGCTCAGCTAAGTGATTTATTTGAAGTAACATAGGCTTAAATAATGGATTTAGTATTAAATCGAAGGCCTCTTATAGTCTATTAAAGACAGATCTCAAATAGCTACCAAAATTCACTCAAATGCAATTGCCAAAAAATTAACCAAATATCTGATAAAAATCGGGCTGATCTTAAACAGACTAATAATTAGTTTCCCTAGGCGAGTTATTAGTCTTACAGTGGAACCTGGTTAATACAGACACCAAGGTGACATGCATGCATACTGAAGTCAGTATTGATCCGCGATGTGTGACTTATAGAATTGATTTATTCGCTATTCTACTGACCCTCTAGAATAAAGCACTTATATATGCTGAATCCATTTGTACAGCAAGTGAGGATGGCAGCAATTCCTTAATTACTGAAAAATATATAGCTTATCAGTTAATTATAAATTCAAATCGACATATTTGAACAAAATATTAGGCCATATGCACCATGAGGTCATGTGACATCATTTTTATGAAAAGCCTTCCATATCTTAAACAAAATAATAGCGATTTGGTTTTTCAAAGCCGGACCATTTTCTTAAAATGAGTAAGAACGTAGCTGGTCACGTGACCAAAATGTGATTTTTACAATTATGAATTACCTTTTTCTGAACCAATATTTTGCAAATTAAACTTCAAGGAAAATGTTGAAAAGATGATGTGGTAGCTTTTACAGCACATCTGAGCGTAACTATTAAACGTTTAACAAGATGCAAGCAAAAAGTAGTTTTGGCTGCTATGTTGGAGGGCAAGAGTATGTCTTCCAACATGGGGGCCAATACAAATCATACCACTTTGTTGAAAATCAAAGTGCCATAAAATATCTCCTTTTAATGTGTTTCCTCTCAAAATTTCTGGTGTAAGATAATTTTTATGTGCTCTTTTAATTTTTATGATAATTTTTATGTGCTCTGTCAATTTTTTTGGCATCAGCAAGATTCCAACTCATTGTTTAAAGGAACCATTGGTCACGTGACCTCCTAGTGCAAGTGGCCTATTTATTTTAATTTGAGTAATTAAGAATTAAAGCACGCATGCTCGGCAAAACACATAAGTATTAAGTATACAGTCATTAAGCTATTTAAAGAAACCGCCCTTTTTTCTCTACTTTGATATTTTTAAAAATCGTAGTTTAAAAACATAGCTAAAACATGCTTACCTCCATCGATCCATCGATGTTAAGTTCATCTTCGATAGTGCACGTTCAGGGTTGTTCAGCTCCGCAAATATTCTCCAAATAGCAGATGTCGCCCTTCGAGTTGTATTCTTGCTGTTCTTGCATGCTTTTAGCCATTATTTCGCCTAGTTCTTACTCTTGAAACGAGTGAAATGTCCCCATTTTTGTTTCCACAACCGTGAAAACAACTCAGGTCTTCTCAGTTAACGGTTCATTAACTTGCAAAAACGCTGCATTTTTGACGTCATTTCCTCGCTAAACACAAAATTCTTCCAAATTTGGTCATCAGTAACTGGTTATGGTGAATTATGCGTGTGCTTTAAGCCAATCAGAATCGGGGAAATATTTTGAATGAGTAACAACATTATTTAAACATACTTCTGACGCCTGTGGTCAATTTTAGATAAAACCTTTCATTATTGACGTTTACAACCATATAATTTTTTTTTCTTTCCGGCTCATGATAAGATATAAAGTGAGCAAAATTGTAGCTGGGAAAATTCGCTTTTTTCCCATTAAAACTAGTAAGTGCTAATACTTTAATTTCAAATGGACCTTCATCTGAAAAAAATCAGCGACACCCTGTAATTCTTTTCATGCATCCACTCGTTGCTGGCGAAAATCATGCAATTTCTAAGCTACTTCCTGTTGAAATTCGACGTGACCATTACCTTGGAGCAGTCAAAGCTTCACAGAGCAGACAATCTCCAGTAGGCAGACACTTCTCATAAAAGGGAAAGTTAATCCTGGTCCCGGCCACACGCAGACTGATACAAACGATACAAGCACTATATTTTTAACTCCCTCTGGACATCTTTTCCTGGTTCCTGTCTACACCTATGCGTTTACAAAAATCTTCTCATGTTTGCTTTTGCACACTAAAATGACAGACCTCTCATTTTTAAAAGTGACTCTACTTTTGAGAAACCACCGGTTTTGTCCTTTTTTAGTGTCAACAGAGGGAAACGAGGCTTTCTATTTACAAACACTCTACACTTGCATCCTCAGAGTGGCCACAGTTCTCATTTCCCCACCCGTTGTGAGAACAATCAAACAGTGAAGCCTCTGCTCCATTACAGTTGACATCATCCATCCACGTAGGCTCAGAACCTTGACCGTACCTTGCACCGGATAGAGCGGATTTTGCTCTGGAGAAACCCAGCTCACGACAAACCACATTAGCATCTTTGATATCCCAGGAATCATCGCACACGGTGCCCCAAGTTCCATTGTAGTATACTTCAACACGGCCATTCGAAGTTCGTCCATTTACTAAACGAACTAATACAAGATATGTATGAGATTTCGTTATAATCGAGGTAAATTCACATCGTTTCTGGAGAAGTTCGATTCACTGTCAGGAAATTTTTGTTTTACAGCAGTCTTACCCCCATATAAATGACCGCCCAAATTAATAAATGCCAAGATTATTTTTCTCTTTTGGGGGGTTGTCTCTTAATAAGAGAGTGACAGAAGAAAAAGAAGAAGAAGCATGCACTCACCTCTACGCTGAATCTCAACGACAGTCACTGCTTCTAGGTTAGGTAATCCTACACTGGTTCCAACACAAATGTAATTTCCTGCGTCCTCCTTTCTTAAGTGTGTTATAACTAAAGCGCCCTTGGTTTGCTGACTACGACCGACTGGTAGTTTCGATCCTTGTTTTCTCCAGCTGATGACAGGTTGAGGATCACCAGTAGCGCTGCAATTCAACGTTAAACGTTGACTTAAAGAGGCGACAAGTTTCGTCGGTGGTTTAACAATAAACCGAGGCATAGGGACCACTACTAATACTGTTCTTTTTACAACACTTCCTAGTAGATTAGTCGCAGTACAGAGGTAATTATCTGAATCACCTTTACGGACACTAAGTAGTTTGATGACGCTGTTATTACTCTGTACTCTCCCCTGCGGTAGCTGACCAAACGACTTGCTCCACGTGACTACTGGGGTGGGATGTCCAGTCACGTGACAAACTGGCAGAGTGACATTGCTTCCTTCAACGGCATAAAAAGGTCCAGGATCAAGGGTTATAATAGGGCGAGCTGTAAATGAAAGACACATTCAATTAAGCAACTGTTTTAATGCCTATCCAATGCGTATATATTTTTATGCGTGTAGCTTTTAACTCAGTTCACTCTAGTTCTTTCTTTAAAAAAAGTGCAGTGGCAACAGTTGGGAAGAGAAAATCGAGGCAAACACAGGTAGGTTGCCCAGAGAGTTCTAGAATTGAACTATTTCTGCCATAAAGAACAGCTGACACATAGTTTGTGTTGATGACAAGGAACTGGCCCATATGAAATTAGCTCTCTATAAGAGAGTGGAGCATTCTTGAAGGAAAAAAAGAAAAAGAGGGTGTTAAGTAGAGAGTGGGGCGTAATAAATCTTTTACGGTACTTAGGACTGAAGAAGAAGTTAAAACTGTTTTAACTTCTTTTTTAAAGATATGTCTTATACAAACCGCTTTTGTAACTTAAAATAAAGCTTTTATCCTCATTCTAGGAGCCCATTTGCTGTTGATGGTGAAGATGATAATGAAGCTGCATGTCCTTCACTTTTAATTGACGATAGGTGCCGAACTACAAAATTTATATTTACGTGATTTTCTTGTACTCCTTGCCACGTATATAAACTCACCATTTACTACCAGCTGACCCACTGCGTGCGCCTGTCCTAAGATGTTTGTCGCTGAACATTTATACAAACCCGCATCACTTCCTTTTAAGTTCTGTACACGCATAATTCCTTGTGAAATTGCTGCCTGGCTTATTTCTGATTGATTGTTCACATTAATCCACACTACTGTAGGCGTGGGGTTGCCAGTAACGGAACACTCAAAGGAGGCTGATTCGCTCTCGTTAACAGTTAACCTTGCAGGATAAACATCAACAGTTGGGGCTGAAATCGAATTGATACCAGGCTCTCCCTTAAGCCCAGTGTCTCCTTTCTGTCCTTTAGGACCAGCTTCACCAGGCGGTCCAAAAGGTCCCATAATGCCTTGCTTGCCACTCTTTCCCGGTGAGCCTATAATGCCTTGATCTCCTTTGTTTCCTGGTCTCCCTCTCTGTCCTCTTCGTCCCCGGACTCCTTTCTCTCCCCTCGGTCCAGATGGGCCTGGAGGGCCTGGGGGACCTGGTGAACACGCAACACCTTTTGACTGACAGATGTGAGGTTTTAAATCCGATAAAAGCTTGTTGATTTTACGCGTCGCATTCATTGAATTAAGCTGACGTTTGTTTCTCTGGCGTTCAGGGGCCTGAAGCTCTAAAATTAAACAGGTAAAAACAAACCGAGACTTTAGAGAGAGTCCTTGGAATGTCCCGACCTAAAATTATAAGGCTAGCTAACTGTATTCAAAAGTTGGTCGCCAACTTAATGACTCTTTTTATATTTTATTTGTTCTTAATATTACATTACTAAGATTGGGAGAAATGAGGAGAGGAAAAGGAAATCAAACAAGGAAGAGAATTTCCACTTTTTTCATTCTTTTCATCATAACTGTTGCTACAACACGTGTTCAGGATGATTCTGTTTAAAAACTTTATTTATAGCAGCTTATTGACCCTGTAAGTAGACCCTTTCATTATTCCTTATTCACTGGGTAACTTAAGGGCTCAGTTATCATTCACATAGGCAGGAGCCGGCTCCTGGCATTGGTTATTAAATACGTAGGTAGTTCATTAATAAACACTTGGTAGACAGAAAGTAAAATGTAGGTACGATATCAATGATTAAAATCGGATTATTAACAGCCAAGGAAAGCGACAGAAGTAACCACTTTGCTCAAACCCAGTAATAAAAGGGACAGTAGATATGCCTACAAGTAGCTTTCCCTCCTGATCGACAGTCCAACCAAAACGGACTATAAAAAGTCAAAGTGATAGAAAGGTAACTTGTTATGCAAACCATGTCCTTATTGGAGTAAGATAAATTTACAATGACGGATAGTCAGTGCTAAGCATACTAAATATATCAGTTGATAACTAAATAAGAGCCGTGGTGGTTAATTGAGGTCAAGATGTATGACGTCGAATGCTATTCAAATATTTCTTTGCGCAAGACCCTGGGAAATACCTTTACGGATAAAAACTTTAGCTTTCCATATTGAACGGACCCTAAGTGAGACCAAAATCTTCAATTTCAACCCCTAAGATAGACGACTTGCACCTCCGTCGATAGAGGACGGAGAATAGCGGGGCGATGGCCACTAGGAAGTTATCTCGTGTCATGCTATGAAGCGCGCACGTCTGTCCTACACATTATAGTCATCGTCGTGAATCCGTCGTGCAAACATCCACGACTAAATCTCTGGTAAGCGATTCACCGAAATCGTAATACATTTTACCCTTTTAAGGTCGAAAAACCCAGGTTTCCGTTGGATTTAGTTTACCTTACAGGTTGACAAAATAGCTTTTATCACAAATATTTTTTTTTATTTCTAGCCGTAAGTTCGTTACTGGTGTTCTGTCTTATCTTGGAAATTCTACATGGGTGGTTTGCACAGTGTGCGATAAAAGCGTGAGTAAGGAGGGAGAGAGAACCCTGGAAAGGAGGTTGCTCCCTGAAGAGACAAACCGGGCCAAGGGAGAAAAAAGACAGTAGACGTCTCTGAAGTATTCCGTGACAAAATTATGAAAAACAAAAAAAAAAGGCTGAACAAAATACTAAAAAGAGTAGAGCCAAAGTTCTAAGCTTCAACAATAGCCAAAACAAATTGTTTTAGGATAGTAATTATTGCAATTAAAAAACTTATTAAGAGCGTGCATCTTATGGCACCTCGGTGCTGCATCAAAAGCACCGAACTGAATGACTTCCAGCTTAAAATTTTCGACGCACACCGACCAAGAATTTCTTGTTTCAAATGGGAAGAAAGGAAAATGACGTTATCATATTTTTGGACTGTTTCTTAAGTAACACTTGAGAATTCTGTGGTCCGAAAACGAAGTGAACCTAGCAGGGCTCTGAGAATTTCAAATGATAACTGTAGACGCTGTAAAGCGTATAAGAATCTGAGAAATCGCCACAGATTGGATTAATAGGGAGACAATTAGCACATTTCATTGCCCACCAAACCCATTTACTATATCATGGAGATATCCGCATAACGAGAGAACAAAATCTTTCGTGTTTGTAACGTTGAATATTAAATAATACGGGAAATGAGCTTACCCAAGTCTTGCGTTTTTGGCTTAATAAGGTCCGCTTCACTTGATGGCTGCGGCTTAGACTCTGCAACGTTTTCAAGAGTGTTGATTCTCCTCTTCTGCTCATTTAACTCCACTTCAACTCTCAGAAACCCAACAAAGCAGAACACGATCGACAGAACAGAAACAATGCTCGAAATAGATGGCATAAGCTGTTTTTGGGTTGCCATGTTGGCTACTTCGACTTCATACGCTGAATAAAGCAAGCTTACAAAGCAACCTTTGTTAAATACTGCTCCAGATTAGATCGCATTGCAGTCAAGCAAGGTCACAGTCTGGCTATAAATTTGCAAAACAGTTTTGTTTTGTCTTGGCGTGTCAGATCATGTCAGATAGTATCATGTCGATGAGTACACTTGATAGGTGGTGTTGATCGACTTTTCATGATCAGTAGCAAGTAAATTAATTAATCAATTGCAAGGCCTTTTACTTGTATCACGGACAGATTTGTTTTCGAGGTCTGTGTTTTCTAGACACCCAGCGTTAATCCTATTCTTCTGCTCATGTAACTCTAGTTCAACTCTCAAATACCCGGCACAGTAAAACACAATAGACAAAACAGAAAGCCTGATGCAAAGGAGGGCATACGCTGCTTTTGAGTTGCCATATCCGTCTACTTGCATGGTAAAGACGCTTGTCTGCTCTGTCACAATAGGTCGTTATATACAGCCAAGATCACGTATTTGGGTAATTTGCCAAGGTTTTTTTTTTATTATTATTTATAATCATTTGCCATATCTCGCGTCGATGCCAACTGCTAAAATAACATTGGTTCTTTGAGGTAGGGTCAACACTTGGTCGATCTTTTTTTATCTTCAACAAAATACTTTGAGCATCCTCACAGCCGCTTAATTGTCTTGCGCTTGGAAAAAGGTAACTCGATAAAAAGTTCAGGATGTCCCGTTCAACCCGCCCCCTCCTTCGTCCGATCTCTTCTTCGACGCAGTTCTATGGTCTCTTGCACCAGTGTTACCTATTAAGTTTATCAGGCCTTCCGTAGGGTATGATGCTTTGGCAACGATCCATCAGCAGCGTCGCAAAACAAAGTTCATTATACATTCAAACCTTCCGTAAGCGACCACCCAAAATGTAAAGACTGAGTGGTCGCTCACGGGAGGTGGTCGCTCACAAGAATTGAACCACAGGGCGGGCCTCTTTCAAGAAGAGATCCAGGCACAACTACTTTATGGAAGATAATTTATTGCATAAAATGTCTAAGTTAGGATATGTGTAGTTCCATGTTGTCACTAAAGTGCTTCGTATGTTCTATGTAAACATAGTGCACACAATTGTGCACACAGCGAGTAGATCAGAGAATGCGTCAAGCAGTCACTTTCAAAAGGTTAAAAACAATGGAGAATCATTAACCGTCAGGCCCAAACGGTGGGCGCGGTGGCTTACAGAAGGTGGTCGTTACTAGAGGTTCCAACTGTAAGGCTTTGACTGGGAAAATTTTGGTGTTTTGGATTGACGGTCACTTATGGGAGGTGGTCGCTTACAAGAGGTGGTCGCACATGGAGGTTCAACTGTATTAATTTGCCTGTCGCCTCCACTCATCGCTTATGTCGGTAAACGTTACAGGACGTACGGGCGGCAATCATGCAAGTTGCGATGGTACACCCTCGGAAGTAATTGGAATAGTAAATACAAATAATTAGTATCAAGACTCCATTTTCTTAACGATCAAACCTGCCGGGAGCAGAATGAAGGCGGCGTATCTCGGAGTGGTGGCGGGAACTAAACAACACTCTGAATTGAAATTGATCCTAAAAAATCGTTGGGGACAGTATGGTTATCTTCAGAACAATCCCTGTCATAGAAACAGAAGTATGATTCTTGCCAAAGCGAAAAAAGGCTATTACTATTCATTCAAAATATTTCCCCAATTCTGATTGGCTAGAAGCACACGCATAATTCACCATAACCAGCTACTGATGACCAAATTTGGAAGAATTTTGTGTTTAACGAGGAAATGACGTCAAAAATGCAGCCCTCTCTGAGTATCCGGCGTTTTGGGGGAAAGGGGGAAAGATGGAAGCGAAAAAGTAAAATATCCTCTCCCCTAGCCCCTTAGGAAGGCCTGATACTCAGGCTACTCCACAGGTTAATGCACGGTTAACCGAAAAGACCTGGGGACGAGGTTGAGTTGCTTTCGTTGTGAAAACTACAATGGCGGACACTTCACTCGTTTCAAGAGTGAGAACTGTAGCTGGAACTAGGCGAAATAATGGCTAAAAACATAGCAAAAAAAGCAAGAAGACAACTCGGAGGGCGACATCTGCTATTTGGAGAATATTTGCGGAGCTGGACAAACCTAAACGTACACTATCGAAGATAAACTTAACATTGATGCAGGTAATCATGTTTTAGCTGTGTTTTTAAACTAGGAATTATTTGAATGAATAATAAAGCAATTAATGAATTCGGCTTTCGTAGAATATAAAGAATTAAGCACATCATCCTACTCAGCCTCATTCATTAATTGCTAATTAAATAATGTATAAAGACTAGCCGTGAAATTAATTAATGCCCACCATGCAGTGTTCGTATACGTAACACCACTGGTAAGTTTAATCTCTTTTAAGACCAAGGTTTTACTGTCAGGTTAGAGAAAATTGTGTCGAAGTGTGGTATAGGTAACCTGAAAAAAGCTGTATAACAATACTCTCGCTTATTATCAGAAAATGCCCGGCTTTAATAAAGGCGCGATGAGAACTTCTTACTGGAACTCCTAAACAGGATTTAAGCTGACGGAATGTGCATAGTGGAAACAGACTACAGCGAAGTGAGATCAAGTAGATGTATTCTTCTTCTCGCACACAAAAATTAAGATCAAAATTGCGGCTTTCCCCCGTACAGGATGCTGCTTTGTACCCATCAAAGGTTTGAAGAGAACTCTGAACACCTTTAATGGACGATAAGTTACAATGAAGCCAAACGCGGTGTTATAACTTGCAAGTGGCTTTATTCAGTTAAATATTTTTTCCATGCCTATTCGTTGTTTTCAAAACATGAGTAACTACAATCATGTAACATAAAAGAAAAATCCCATTAGAGGTCATGTTCTTTGTTTTATGGAAATACAACGTCGATAAAACGCTGAATCAAGTTGTCCACTTTCTGTATGATATCAGCATTATGGCAAACGGCCTTTCTGAGCACATATCTTCATCAATAAAATTTTGTTTGAGATTGTTACATTGTCAATACGGTTTTTTCGCCTTGCGTGTACCAACCTTCGCTTTTGCCATTACTGTATAAAAAAGAGAAAGCAAAAAGGCAAAGAAAGAAAGATTTGAGATCGTATTTTCATAAAACGGCTCTGTTAACGCGCTCTTTAACTTCGTGTCCGCCACCTGTCCGACAAAAGCTATAACGAAAAGCTTACAAACAAAAATAGGTAGCGTGCATGTCTAATATTTTTTTTCATTTTTGCTCTTGTTTTCCAGCTTTAAAATCAATACCGTTATCCTAAATGTCGAGCTGATTGAAGGTTTTGTTGGATCATATATATCTAATCACTATGAATCAATGCCTTAGCAAATCTTAGCCACTAATATGCTTATAGGCTGTTTATTAGCCTTAAGTACAACGCACCACACAAATATTCCAACAAAAGATGCCCGAGTATCTCCTGTAGCAAATTCGGAAACACCAGGCACGTTTTGTTCCTGCAAAATAACGAAAAAAATTATGTTAGTTTAGACCGTGATGCTGATAGTCGCACAGGCTTTAACCCAGTTAACTGCGCGAGAACTAAAAACGACTAAAAAAAATGACTGAGCCTTGTTCATGGTAGTTAGCTGGTTGCTTTAACTGGTAGCTTTTGTTTTTGTTGTTCCCACTGCTCCTGCTGTTAATTGTTGTAAGACAGACTTATACTCTTAAAAATTTTATCTACATGTATGTTTTTTTATTGAAGCATTATTTAACTTACGCTGGACTGGGAGGTTTCTCTGCTTGATGCGATAAATCGGCAACTTAGCACACATAGCAGCCATTTCATCACTCAGGAATGAGCGGTCATTGACAGTACCAACAACGGCATATTCAGTCTTCCCTTGTGTCTCTGCCTCGCTGCTATCCTGGTTCAGTTGCTGAAGGGAAAAAAAGCACAATTCTTTACGAGTCTTTACGGATGGTCTACCGTCAACGCCAAAATGTATGAGACAAATCTCTGATCGCGATTAAATGACTGCTTCATAAGAAAGAGTATGAGTTTATTCTCCAAAAGGAACCCTTTTCTTCAATTGTCTATTCCTAAGGGGCCGACCATTTGACTTCTAAGTGGGTGGGGGTAGGGGTGCTATGGGTAATTTGGTTTGTGTAAGAATTTGTTTTTTCCCAAACTTCCAGAAGTGACAGATTTTTTTCCTGACATACAATGGTTTAAGATTTTTTTCCAGCATTATACGCCATGAAAGATATTTTTTTCCGGTGTAGGAGTTTTTATTAGCCAGGCATTTCCTTGCAAGAATTTTTTTTTCCCCTCGAAATCAGTCTGCAAGATATATTTTCTTTGAAATCACCCTTTCCCATCCACCCCCTCAAAAGTTAAATGGTCGCGCCCCTAATAAGGGTTGCGTAATTTTGTAGCAAGTGACCAACTTTTCCCCTTTACTTAACCTTTAGTGTTAATCATACCGCACAAAAATAATTAGTTTGCAGTAAACGTGATTACAAATCTCCTAATGAACGATCCCAGAACCTAAAAGTTAGATCTTGCTCAACATTAGCTAACATTTCAGAGTATTTTTTAAAGCTAAAATGTCAGGTTTTTGCACTTTTGTGAAAAATCTTACAAAACAGTACCGAATGCTGCAAAAGGCTGAAATACTATACACAAATAAATTAGCCCTCGGAAATGCAGAATAAACAAAAAAGAGGACCTTCGATGTGACCAAAATCTAATAAGCTGTCCCAATATCGTTAGATGTAGAATTGAATGGATGAATAAATGAATTAACTTTATTTGCAGTGAATAAAGTTCATTCATTCATTCATTCATTCATTCGTTCATCCGTTCATTCATTCATTTATTCAATGAAAAAAATATGTAAAAAATACAATGGTAAAACTGGTAGTATTGATCAATACTAATGAATCCAAAAAAGACCTAGAACCCAGCAAGTGTTCTTCTCTTCTATTACGTGAACATCATCAGCTTCAGAGGTACTAAACAAACAACTTCTAAGAATGTACTTACCTTTTCAATTAATTTCTTGAGGTCAGCTAGTTTTGGTAGATTGTCAGTAGAGTCGCTCAGAAAGCAAGCTTTCTGATTGGACATTCGGTGCATAGCCATGTTCTACACCAAAAGACAAAAGGAAAACAGTCACATATGTGCTTGGCTGTAACTATTTAAAAAATATTATTATACGTGCAAGGGGTGCATTGTCAATAAAGAAGACTAATACGCGAAATCAGAGAGAAAGAGAGCAGTAAACTGAAGTAGGCCATTCTGAAAAGACGACGTAGAGCGAAGGAAACGAAGGAAGGAAAGAAGAAGAAAGAGAAGGAGGAAGGAAGAACGAAAGAAAAGGAATGAGAGAATGTAAAAGAAACAAAAGGAAGGCAATTATATTTAAGATAAAATATGCCATATTTCAATTTCTGACCTACAAACTCACCTGTTTGAAATCGTAAACAACATCGACCTTCCCGCCCCCCACTCTCTCATGGGCATCGGGGTTGGTGTCGCCATTACTTGCGATGTGAAAGAGTTCTGTTTCCTCTTTGGTGTCAATTTTTATAGTTTCGTCTAAATCTTTGTCTCCATCCTTGACTTTAACTTTGTACTCCGAAACCTTATCGTTCAAGTTAAAAAAAAGTAAGCAAACATTATCACTGAGTGCTAACCATCCCACCTATTGGAACGCTACGAGGCCTTGCAAGAATTTTTACATAAAGAACTTCAAATAATTGCAGACGAGAACATTACAGTTAGCTTTGAAATGTATCTTCACTGATGAAGAACTCGAACACGTTAAAAATCCGGCGCCTTGTTTAGAATCACAGAGGCTATCATAGGATTTTTAAACGGCTATTATTTTCGAAATAGCCATTTTGAAGCTTAAAATTTTTGTCACCCACCGGTTAACAAGGCATGGAGAAGTGTTGATATAGATGGAAAATTAAGATGCTCGATTCTCTTAACAACATTTTGAAATTAGCACAAGTAACTCCCTTGCTTTTCAATTGACTAATGCAGAAAACTTAGCCTGCTGTAGAATATCATTGGTTTTGAACGCCGATACACCATCACGGGAATGAAATTCGAAAAGCAATACGTACATCAAAATGTATCGGTTTGCCTCCTTACCTTTTTCTCATCTTCTCCGCTTTTATAAACTGTCGCTCCGGAAGCGACGACAACAAAGACAGCGAAGGAAAGGATCAAAACCTTAAACTGGTGAAAGAAAACGAAAAACAAAAAAATAAGATCAATTAATGTTGCAAATCCTTCATCCCAGTTTAAATTGATAACATGGTACCACTAGTACCAGTAAGTAGCTCATTTTTATAAGATGGCATGCACAATATACAGATTTTGACTCCACTACACAACATCAACAGACAAAACGTAATGGCAAATAAGTTTATTTTGGGACGGCTTGGCGAGAACCAACCCTACAAAGTACAAAGTACTTATGTAAATACAATAAAAGGTGATTACTGGTGAATACCTAATGTACAACACTTGTAAACTAGCTTTCACAAAAAGATAAAACTCGTGCTACAAATGGTGGCTCTTAACCTGAATCTTCCAGTTAAGCACGCAGGCTTAGTGCCAGTTAGGCTGACAGTTATTCTGGGGAAACTAATTAAAAGAAACTCTGACAACGGATAACTGGCACAGGGAACACGGTAGGAGCACAGAAGCTAAGCAAAAAGAAAAACTGCTACAACTGGTCGATCTCGACCTGAATCCCCCAAATAAGCACACAGGCTTAGTGCCAGTTAGGCTGCCAGTTAGGCTGGGGAAACTAATTAATAAAACTCTGACAACGCATAACTGGCACAGGGAACACGGTAGGAGCACAGAGGCTAAGCAAAAAGAAAGAACCTCTACAACTGGTCGATCTGGACCTGAATCCCTCAAAGAAGCACGCAGGCTTAGTACCAGTTAGGCTGCCAGTTAGGCTGGGGAAATTTAATAAAACTCTGATCAACGGATAACTGGGACCGGGAACACTTCTCAGGAGCACAGAGGCTGAGTGTCAGGAAAACTGGGGATTATCTCCACTAATGTACCCAACAAGACACGTAGCCTAATAACCAGTAAGGCTGCCATAAAAGGCTAGGGCGGGACATTGAGGGTAAACAAATGGATAACAACCCTGGCTAGAGGTCTGTAACATTGACTGCAACCTAATTGCGTCAAACGAGACTTATGTCGCCTCCTAAAGAGCGGTTCCGGGACAGCTGACCTAAGCATACATAGAAAATAAATATATCAAGTAAAGGATTAGGTGCAAAACTGTGATAACTGTACAAGTACATAAAATAAGAAAAGCGGGAAAAGTTGAAAACTAGCAGAGCTGAGCTACCGCTTACAAACTGAAGTAAATGCGGTCAGACGAAGGCCAGAAAAAACCTGCCCAAAAAAACCCCGAAGGGAAAAAATGCGGGCAGGAAATCTGGGTAGGAACCAAGGCTCAAGCTCAAAGCCCTTCCTACGGGACTTTACAATGTCATCGAGAATATGTTGCTCCTAAAAATAAATAAAACAAAAATAAAGAAAAACCAAAGAGAGGGTGGTTCGTAAGCCTAGATGACGTACACGTGATATACGCAGCCTTATATACCCCCGATATGGCTACCCATGGTGCACCCGGCCTAGTACCCAGGCCCTGTTGTATCTCGTGTCGTCAAAATATTTATTTCTGTCTTCTTCGCGGGCTCATTCGTCAGAAATAACATATTTTGACTCCACTACACAACATCAACAGACAAAACGTAATGGCAAATAAGTTTATTTTGGGACGGCTTGGCGATAACCAACCCTACAAAGTACGTAGAGTGACAAGGTATTGGGCGAAATGACAAATGAAAGCTCCTAGAGCCAAAGAAACTGAAAGCCTTTTTTCTAGGTCATCATCGGTAGACGTTCTTGGCTAGAACGCACTTCCAGCGGCCGAGCCACTGAAACACACTGTCACTAACCCCATTATAAGCAGCGGAAGTGGCCCCTCTCGAACGCAAGGAATGAAAACCCAAAAGTGGAAGGGTCAACCCCGAAACTTCTCAGGTCCTTGCGAAAAGCCTCTCTAATTGTGGTTTAGCTGATAGGCTCGTCCTGGGAAACTAACTTAAAGGAGCTGTTCCCGCGAGACATGGGCCTAAAAATGAGATCCCTGGAGCTAGAGGGATGGAAAAATGGGCAAGGTACAAGCAGGGTCAAACATTTCCGAAAAAAGAAAAAAAAAAAAAAAATCACTCCGATTCATCGCCCTTACAAAGTTGGTCGTTCTTGCTTTTGAGAACCTTAATGATCATGAAACCCTCATGAAAATATAATTCCCCCTAATTATGGAGACCTCATCAAACCAAAAATCCTTCTGGAAGCACACCTAACCCCTTCAATAATCGGTTTATCCGTGGGAGAGGGGATACCCGCCATGGTATGAGCCCATTTACTACCGTAAACAGCCGAGTCTAAGACGCACGGGGAGTGCGACTCTTCAATGAGGTGTTGCAAATACAAGGCAACATGGCAGGGACTGGCAGGACAGGCCCAGGAATGAAGCTTACTGGCTGCAAAACATTTTTACTTGCGAGAAGCACGAAGGTACACCACTGTCGTAGTAACGGCCTTTGAGGAGAGAACCGTCGATTGCATTGTAGAGTGTCTGTCAGCCTCAGTATTCAACCCTCTGGTGGGAAATTCTGGGGCTCGCGCTAGAAACCAGAGCGGAACATATCGGAAAAGTAATCGAAAATACAAGAAGAAAATGTGAGGAGCACGAAATAAAAAAGAATTTTAAAAAAAAGCGAGCTTAAAACACCGGAAAAGGGAAGTGAGAGGAGAGTGGGCGGGGGGGGGGGGAGGGGGTCAAAAGGCTACATGCAAAAACCTAATGGGTCCAAACCTAAAGGTACGCATAACACGCGTGTAGAGGCACTGGTAACACTTTCCGTCAGGCGGCATAGAGCAGAAGCCCGCCAGGGACGAGGGAGGTCTGGGGCGCCGAAAATAAACTCAAAGCGCTATCACGCCAAAAACTAAAGGCCCGGTTCTGAAAAAGGAACTACGGACCTTCCCTGGAACAAATAACCCCTGGAACTTAGGCAATAAAACCCAGTCGACAACAAAACTATTCCAATGCACTCCATCTCTAGTAGAAACATTCCAGAAAATAGCTGACTTCCATAGGTGAGGAATAAGGGTTCCCGTGAGCGCGGCAGAGCCCAATGTGTCTGATGACTCTGACAATGAAGCAAACAGGTGGGCCAAGTCAGTTGTTGTCCTAACCCCAATTTTGAGCGAAGGCATAAACAGCCTAACAGCCTGGCTAAAAAAATAGAGAGTAAAGCCTAGGCAACTAGCCGTTGTAGCTACAGGCGAACCTGTCAATAGTGTTAGGACTTAAGAGGTGATTTAGCCCTTCAAAAACAAAATCGTTGAGGCCGTAACCATCGAATTCAACGAGCTTGCAGATACAGTCCGCACTGGCGTTCAGGTCCCTAGCGACCCACTTGACCTCGAACGAAATACACTGATGGGAGCAAATTAGAAAAACAACTAGGGCTGAGTCCTTGAGATCGCATTTCCTGCTGCCGTCGCGAAGAATGCATTCGACGTTCTGGTTGTCAGAATGCCAAAGAACCTTGGAATAAGATAAAGGGCTCGCGAAGGTTAGTAAGGCACGACAAACCGCTTAAAGCTCTCTCCAAGTCAATCTACGAACACTTTCCGACCAATTCAGATGAAAAATCAGACTCCCCTTAAGCGCCGCAGGCTGAATCGGAAGCATCGGAGAAGCCGGAGCTTACTCTCACTAGAAGCGAACTGGAACCCCTCAATAAATTTTGCCGTAGAGAGGCTAACAAAGTTCGACCAAAATTCAATTTCATACAAAGAATCAACGGACAGGAAAACCTAGCTATCCCAGGAAACAGCTGAGTAAACAACTGAGAAAAGAAATCGGGCCATGATACACGCGACGGATCCCACGCAACTCGAGAGGGAAATACTATGGGCGGCTACACACGGGACGCGTAGAACGTGGACTGTGGTGGAAGACTAATATGAAGACAAAGCCGCCAGGTCGTTAGACAATTTAGCAAGGCATTCATCCGTGGCTCTAATACTTCCATCGAGAGTGTTATGTTGAGATGAACACGAAGCCACTAGAAAATTTGGACGGGCTCCCAGAGGGACTTTTCCTCATTAGGAATTTGAACAAAACGATACTAAAGCAAATTGGCATGAACAGTCCGCAAACTGTAAATTTAGGCCTGAACGCGATAGGTTCCTACTCCTATAGCTAGACCATAGTCAAGAAAAATGGCAATAGGGATACCTAGGCTTCTGGATTTCTGAAGCGGTTAGAGGGAGGCTGACAACAACCCAAAGGGAAGCGCGCAAAGTAGAAAATACCTAAAAATCCAGGTGCCGAGATCCCAGGCGAACGCAAGGAAATACCGGTGATAAGGGAATATTACGATAACCGCACTAGAGATAAAATATGAATAAATAAAAACCCATCTTAAAAATTAAAGTGGGCATGGACAAGTCTTCGCACTTGAATTTCTGTTTGAAGAAAAAGGTGCAAACGTGCTTAAAATCCAGGATTAACCTTTGTTAGCCGGAGCGGCGCGTCAAACAGAAAGCCGGTAAATGATATTGGAATGCAAAAAATTTCTAAAAGGGAGTTGAGACTGGGAAGCTCATTAACAGCTACGGACAAAAAGAACCGTAAACACGTGCGGAGGCATTGTAGGATTTGTAAAAAAACATAAAAAGCTGG